CTAAATTCGAGAGTCAGAATTTCCAATTGTCACCATGGATGTGCAAGGAGCATTTGATGCAGTACTTCAAAAGCGCCTATTGCGTAGAATGCAGGACCAGGGGTGGCCAAAGATTCTATGACGATTCATTGAATATTTTCTGACTCAGGGGAGAATTCGGGTCCGCCACCAGGTCGGATTAACTTGCGACAAAACTATCGAGTGCGGAATCCCTCAGGCCTCACCACTCTCACTGTGAAGGCTGGTTACTATTGCCTATGTTGGCTAACATAAGATTGGTCGGATTTAGTGTGCGCGCGATCGACCGATCTAATATCTGAGCATCGGAATCTGATAGCATCCGATCCAACAGTGCAGCTCAACACTGCAACACTTGTTGGTGAGAAGCCATCGGCTGGGAATATACGAGATTGGTCACAACCTCTCCAATTGATAGTGCAATGACGTCGTATAATATGAGTCTCTTTTGTATATATACATATGTAGATAGATCCTTTAGTAGTTCTCTACTTCGAAATATTATCGACTACGATCAACCACATAGTTGCTCCCGCACCTGTCCTCCGATCCGTGACACCCACCACTTCTTTTCCTCATGTATTGCCGTGTTAGTTCAAGACGAGAAGAGAAAAAGATACGGATACGCTGATGACACCGCCATCCTCGGAATAGGCCGCACTGCTGTCGAAGCTGTCTCCTTGGGCTTCCTTGGCAGCTCATGGAGAGGTTTAGTCGCCCTAGGGACAGAGGTTTTTATCTGTGAACCTTGTGGGTATGGGTTCTTGCCTTGGGGAGTCGCGGCATTGGCGTTACCTATCGCAAACGCTGTCACGATGAGTGAAATATTTTCGATGAAGGGCGCGACTAAGGACGCGCCTTCGGTTCCTGCCTTGGATTTCGTCCAGGCGTCGATGTTTTGCAGAAAATCCTGAGCTAGGCTCATTCGCTGCTTTCTTTGGCGTTCCGATTTCTCCATGGCGGCAGCAATCCCAAGAAGGCTCGGGTGTAAATGGTCGCCTGGGTCGATTGAAGCCGTGGACGACGGCTGGTTGTACGCAGCCATCATGCTGCTTGATCTCTCGGGGTTGGGAACGGGGATAAATGTACTGGTACGCGTGTATGGGATGGAAGAATTGGATGATGTGAAGTATGATCAGTTCGGCTGGAATACAGAATTCCTTGACAAAACAATGTTAAAGGCAACTAGAGCAGCACGAACTGCGTAGCGTACGACTCCAAATTTAGCTCTTCGAAAAGAGTCAGGCATCCCACCAGCAGTAATCCTTCAGGACCAGAGACGACTTCGGTCGGCAGCTCGTATTCAACGCCTGGACGTATGCCACCCCTTGGTACTTAGATCTAAGGAGGTACCAAAAAATGTGATAGAGCGTCTTGAGCTCCGAGCTGGCCAGAAAGCTCGACCTATCATTGTCCCGGAGCGCTATCTGACACGACCCAAGAATTGTGCTCTGAATGTACCGATCGCAGAAGGCCCTGGAAATTTCCATACCCAAAAACCAAACCGGCCCGGCTCCAATCAGGTTTTGATAAGGAAAAGGAATAGAACTATGCAAATTTATGGATAGAAAATCTCTCGGCGAAGACTGTATGCGCCTTTCAGACGGCTCGTCGAGCGGCCCAGTGAGATCTGGATGGGGATATGCCTTACACAGAGCCAGCAGGCTGATCGGAAGCGGTGCTGGTATGATTCTTGGAGCAGAAGTGTACGACGCAGAACTTTTAGGCGCTTATAAAGCCCTAGGAGAAACTGTAATATTGACAGTTAATTTTCCTGTTAAGGTACCCCTTGATAATTCTGAAGCTGTCCATTCCCTCAGAACAGGCCGAAGCGAGTTGTCTCAAGCCACACTCGACCCATTTACAACTCTATCCCGCATTGAAAGGTTAGTAGAGATCCGATGGATTCCAGGCCACTCCGACATTCTTGGGAACATCCATGCCGATAAACTGGCCAAATCAGCTCTGAAAGATGCTCCTGTTTTCACAAATACATTGGTAATCTCGAGGTCAAATCAAGGACAAAAGTTCACTTTTGCAGAGCTAAACCGATACGTCAGAGATTGTTGTGGAGAGACTATCGAAGCCTGGTGGCGTAAAAATAGACCTAGTCGATACAAAGTGTTGGAAATATAGACTTCGTATGTATGAAGGTTTAGATTTCTAGGTATGATTATCAAGATAAATTGAATTGACTCGATTGCATATGATTAATCTTAGCTAGGGTAAACGAGGTTCAGTAGTATCTGAAATGCAGTGGCTAGGAAATGATACCATGCGGTAATTGAGTGGCTGGTTGTAGCTAGATCACTGAGAGTTCGGGATAACTAAAGCCTCGGGAATCTTTATTTAAGGATTGGCTTATTTGTATATGTTAAACTAAGTTAACGGAGTATAATACATTATTAATTCATGTTGAGAAGAGAGTTCGATATCACATACAACTATCAGCAAATTCTTGTCCGAAATTGTACACTTGTTCTTCGAGATATTGTTACGGGCTGTGCCCGGATTGGGACTGGTCACTAGGACCAACCCGGCTAGATCTTTAAGCGCCAAGGAAGCAGCGCTTACAGAGACGCGAAAGGTTGCATGGGGAAGAATGCAAGGATACGTACAAAGAGGGATCTAAGTGTCGCATAAGGATTAATGCAAGGTCGCGCACAAGAACGAGTCTCAGTGTTGCATAAGGATAATTGCAAGGTTGCGCATAAGGAAGGACCCAAGGGAGTACGTACTAAGGGGGGGAGGATGTCACAGGAAAGAGGGTAGCCGGGGAGAATGGAGTATTCTCAGGTAGGCTAGGAGGGGAGCTTAAACGCGACGCTGAGGAGGACATAAAGGACAGGAGCCGTCGCAGGCAAATTAGCTTCCCAAGGAAAAATTATCAATTCCTATTGAGTTAACGTATTTCAAGTACTTCTGAATTCTTTAAACCCTTTACAGATATTTCCTCCTAGAAATCCTTGACAATTTCTAACACAAAGACCTAGACTTACTGATGAAACTAAAACGTCCACCAGAGTTAGCTCTCCCAAGATAGGTGTATCATCATCCGATAGCAGCTAGGACTGGTCATAGAAACTTCTTCAAATTACATAAAAGGTTTCACTACGAAGGAATAGATTGTAGGTGCAAATGTGGCCAAGAAAGGCGCCCGTGTCACTTTTAGGAATGCTGCATAGCGCTAAATCAATGGCGAAGAACAACGAAGGATTCAGTTCCAAGTGGATTGACACTCTTAGGAGAGAAGGGGTGAGTAGATTTCTTTCGATTTCTCACCGTGACGGAGTGTTATGGGGAGCAAAGTCAGCCTGGAGTGACCAAGGTCTTTTGGGATACAAATAATACAGGCAAGCTGTAATAAGAAAGCAAATTAGGCGCAGGGCGCCGAGTCAGGGCATCGAAAATTCCTCTCAATATTTTTGTTTTTTCTCATTCATATAAATCCTTAGCTAAATAAAGCTAGCTTCTGTAGTAACTGTGGGTTATCCGGACACGCTCCCGTGTCAAGCCTCCTGAGTGTAGGGCATCAGCCTGATACGTTAAATTAGTAAACTCAATTCAATTAAACAAGACTAAAGAAAACTCCCACATGAAAACTCGCTTTACAAAGGAAAAAAGTAGTCAACTATCCCCTTTCAAAATTCTTCCCCAGCCACCACGCGCCTGGGCCTTATTTAATATTTAAATCGATTTAATTGCCATGACCAATGGTTCGCTCTCACAAGATGCCTGGCATAGTCACCCCTCCGTTGCCCTGAACTTCGGCCGCGTAGATTCTGCTGCCCTGGACGGACTCCTTGAACAGTCGCCAGCCCTTTTGTCCTAGCAGAGTTTCCATTGCTTAGTCATTCTCATGATGATTCAGCCAACACCACAAACCCCATTTTGGCAATATTCTAAATCGGAGGAATTTGATACAGTAAACCCTCCACATATTAACTTCCTTTTGCATCAAATTAACCCTACGATTATGTATATTAAGACCAATCGGCAACAATAGATATAACACTTTTTACGCCCGGAAACTTAGCTATACAAGTGATTTCGTTTCGTCGGGGGGGGGGGACTATTCTCAATGCCTGTCAGTGGTGTCCCCTACGAACCCCCAGCTCTCACCGTAGAGTCTGCAGAGCCGAGATTGAGTAACTAAGTCTTCACTTCAATAAAGATTCCCAATCGCTTTTCGCGGTCTGTATTGCCTTCAACTCTTAGCACAACCCCCAAAACATCATTATTATGAAGCTAACCACGACCAGATTAGATGGTAGGGTCGGAGCCCTGCTCATCACCAACCCTTGATCGTGGAGGAGAAGCCATCCGATGAGTTTCCGGAGCGTACCCAGCACTCGATACGGAGATGGTGGATTGGATAAGTTTGGCCTCTGATGTTACGATGAAAAGATATATAGAAGGATGTACGTACCCATTGTGGGTGATGATACAAGTTTCTTGACATTTTTTCCACGTACGCAGTTTCCATTTCTGCCCCTTCTTTGGGCAAAAGGTTCCACAGAAAAGGAGGTCAAAGTCTATAGACAATTAATGAGCTAAGTAGTTATCTAATACGGGACTACCAAGAGGTCTCCTTTCTTTAAGATAAAGATAGGACAACTATGTAAGGTGTCGCCTGGGTCAGATAGGAGTCCAAGGTGCCAGAGAACATATGGCTTAGGTAGCACAATCAAAGATAAACTAAGTACATCTGCGTAGACTAATTTAGACGTAATTCTCGTAGGTATGTTTCAGATAACACTCCAATCATAGACCAATGTTAGAAAATAAAAAATGAATTGATTGATAGTGATAAAAACAATGTGATTAGAGGAATAATCCTTATTATCTCGAATGCGAGTTGTTTCCCGAAAAGAAATATAGCTTATATTTTGAAGATTGCTTGTCAAGACTGTACGAGGGCTTTATACAATTCTGGTTTCTTGCGAAGGCTTTCATTTGAAGAATAAATAATTGATATAATATCATTTTCCCAAGACCGCTTCAGTATCACTCTCCTTACCCAACAGTCCAAGATTTCGAATTTGGCCTACTGTTGGCGCGTTTGCTCGTGGATTTGCTACTTCAGATTCTCGGTATGCCTTCTGTAGTTTTCTAACTCTGTTTATCTGTAGATTTATATATTAGACTTTTCAATTAGTCAAAAGACATCTATTTTGAATTCACCTCTTTTCTATGATGCAAACATTCATAATAATCCTCCAGAACTGGTGCGCATTTCTTTTTACCCGAATCATTTTCCTCTGTGGTATTAACAACGTAACATGCGAGGACTTCTTGCCAAAATGGAAAGCATCGAGATACACCTTAGCATTGTCAGTCGTCAAGTAATGCTTGTGCCTCAAAGAAATATTATTTTCAAAGCGCTGAACATACCTCCTGTTAAACCGTAGCCTGAAGCCATACTTCGTTGCAAATTGGTAGTCTTTGATGAAGAAGAGGTATTAGCTACAAATGTGATTAGTTCGCTGTAAATAATAACTTTCGTTGTGCACAACAACCCTGTTTCAGCGTTGAGCTATCCTATTATTATCAATGAATAGAATCGCTAGACTTTTTAACGATAAAACATAATCATTCGTTCCGCCGGTACAATATTCGAGGACAACACAATTGAAAAATGGCAAAACCACATGCCTTATCCAGCGCTAAACTTATTTTATTAGCAGTTCAGTTGGCACGAAAATCTGACATTCTAGCATTCGTTTCTTTGGTCTCTCAATATCCAAGAACTATCAAAAAAGAAATATTATTTCGGATTCTTCTAAGCTATCTCCCAGAAACCATCGAACCCTCCAAGTATACGCCGTTACTTCAAAATCTAGTTAATATTCCAAACACTTCGAAAAATGATGCCTACACAGATACTTCAATATTGGATGAAATGAGTGAGGATGACGTGGTTAATAAAGTTAGAAAACTACAACTTATCCCCTTATTCTGGCCACATACCCCATTCACCTCTTCAGCAGATCCTCTATTACAGTTTCTCATCCATCGATCCCTACAAATAGACCAGAATACCGGCTTAACTCACATGATTCCAGCACTTGTAACACCCTTTTTTCAGACGTTTCCAAATTTACGAAGGTGGATGATATCAATTCTTCTTCCTCTTCTACGGCTTAACTACGACTACTATCCAGATAAATCAAAGCTTCTTAATATACCCAAGTTTGAGCAATTAAGTAACAGAGCTATTGTCTCTTTTCTATTATCAAATACGGGGGGGGTCCACCAACCTGAATCTGATGTTATCATAAGCAGAGACCTGAAAGGCTTGGTAGGCCCATGGCTTTACGGAAGTTTGAAATGGAAGCGACCAAAAATAACGTGCTCCTCATTCTATAACATTGAGTCTATCGACTCACTCTGTGAACCTCCTTCTACCCTTGAAAAATATGAGCCTTGGGAAGAAGTTTATTCCTGGATTGCAAGCCAAGCTGATATCTCTTGGGAATCTACAATTCAGGCCATTGAGGGATGGGATGGTCCGGGCGACTTTAATCTAGGCGGCTTTGAAGATGAAATATCTATCGACAAGGAAGATCAGATGCATTTGAGTCGTCGATATGCTCAGTTGGCTATTGCTGTAGCGTTTTCTATTTCCGATTGTTCTAAAGGGTCTCTTATAGGGGTTCAGCGCCTTCTTATTCGTGTTATATACCTTACTGGTCTGGGTCAAATCCCATCAATCGATTCTGCATGTACACTATTAGCACCTGTTAGCGATCTCCAAGATTTCCCAATAAGTCTAAAAAATCTAAAAGCTATTATGGAAAATGAAAACCATCTTACTCTTCCAAGCGAAAGCTCAATCAAGTTTCTTCACGCATTGCTTACCTCTGCATCGCTACTTGAACGTGTTGGCTGCCAAATCAGTGTAAAACGTGCAGCAGAAATTTATCTCCAAAAAAATGGACAATTGCAAAGTGTTTTGTTCCACGAATTCATGGATCAGACTTGCAAAAGGTCAAAAGATGATGACCAATACTGGATTAGGAAGAGAAATGAGATTCATTGGCTGAGAAGCTGGGGCATAAATGATATTGATGAGTTCCATGAGTTTTCAAGCCCTAAAAACGGCATAGGTATCTTTGGTCAACTACCTCGAGAAATGATAGAAGCCGAATTTTTGAAGTTACTTTTATCAAATGGCCGTGAGTTAATATTTTACATAAGTACTTCCTCTGACACACTAAAAACAGGATACAGTCTCGCCCGATCTATCTACGAAGTATCACCTGAAAGACCCCTATCTCGCTCAATCCTTGAAGATGTTGTTATAAAAGTTGCCATTGATCAGTATGATAGCGCAACAAATGCCAACAGATCCCGAGGAGGACTGAAGAGATGTGACAACATGTACGTTATATTAAACCCTTAACTTGAATTAAAGCTAATCTAACTTTAGCTTGGAAGCGTTTTCTAGTACACTAGCCCAGTCACCAGAAAATCAAAAGTTGTTACAACTTCTTCAACTTACATCTGAAATAGAGCCTTATCGACTAGTCCTAAAGAAAGGTGAGCCCTTCAAGCCTATCGATCTCCGCACTCATGGAGATCCTCTCTATATATTGGGTAAAATCCTTGAGCAAAATCCAAAAAGCTACACCAAAATTTTGGATTTTATCGAAATGGCGAAATTGGCAATCGGAGCTGGCCTTATAAAGTTAGGCTCAAACGAGATTTCCAGTTTTGTTTCTTCTGATGAGGTTCAAGAAAATTTTAAGAGTATCGAAAAGAGAATTGCCGCTATGTGTATTGATATTGCACTTCTCGAAGATGATTTCGAAACTGCATACTCTTACGCTACAACTCGGCTTGGATGGACTTTTGGGTCGGTGAAGGCTAGTACCGATGAAAGACTGCGAATTCTGTCCACCATAAGCACCACATCACAGTGCAGGGCTGGTTTAGATGAATGGTCATGGCGTGCATCATTACAGGTGGGAAAATATCGACGAAACTTCGAAACAAAGCAACAAGCATACGCAAGTCCCAAATACTGCAATCAAGCCATTACACAAATAGAAAAGTGTATGGAATGCATATCACAAGCTCTCATGCTGGCTCCCACAAGTGCCTTGCCCGAAATTTTAAATTTTTACCGTCAATCTGAGGAAAGACTGGAATCGCTACTATTACAAGCAGAACAACAAGAATCCGGTAATCTTTCAGCAGATGTTGAAATTTCACTTAGCAAGAATCAAAAAGCTCATTTAAAGCATAGTAAAGGTAGCCGCATAAATGAGATATCTGAGGAACCAATGACCTTATTTGATCTATCACGTGCAGGTATGATTCGAGCTCAGAGTGGACTTTCTACCCTCTCAATGCTTAAGAATGGACCGAAGGATAATAACAGTCAAGTATCCGGGGAGCCGTTAAATACAGATGATTATTTGAGTGGAACCATGTCAGAACCAGAAACTGTTCAGGCAAGGGTAAGGAGAAGAGATCAATTGAAGAACGCTGCTGTTGGCGGGTTAGCGTCTGGAGTTGGTTGGCTTATCGGCGCCCCATCACCGATCTTGAGCAATGACACTGACTGAAATTGGAACAAGAAAAAATTAAGATTTAAATGATTATCTGGGCGAGGGTTATAGCAAATTATTGTATTAATTGGAAAGGTGTTCCGGGTCATATATAACCATGCTTAGCATTCTATAAGGCTGGCTTTTTCTATTACACAATGTTTATCTTGATGATTATTCCCTTATCGATTTCCTTATGATTCAGTAGACTTAATAAATAATGAGATATCGCTAGTTCAAAAATCGATTTATCTCCCAAGTAAGAGGAAACTGTCCTGTATCCCGTCATTAAAACTTTTGAAGAGCCTACCGGCGTTATTGACCCACATTGTCTCTTCACTGCCACTTCTCTTAAAGCTTTTTACCTCCATTCTCGATGGGAGTGTCTTCATAGCTGGCCAACGACTTTCTAGAATACTACACGACCCACTTCAATGTTTGAGTAAGATGGCCTACGCTAGAGAAAAATAAATCTCAAGCCCTCGAGCACACAGCAGCAGCCAATGAAGATGTGAATATTTGCAGACCCGACAGGCAACATAGCTGGTCAGATGGCATTAAATTTCTTGCTAACACACATTTCCTAGGTCCCAAGATTGAGGGCTTCGGATTTTTAGAGGAGCATACTAGCATGATAAGCGTATTAAATGATCAGAAATATACAGAAAGTTGGGATTCTAGCTTTCTTTTTTGTGTTCCGGTGGAAATAATCGGGAAATGTTGATATAATGGTAATAATTGTAGTAAAACGCTAAATATTTTGGACAACTCCTAAACTCCATTGTCAACCCAATTCATTATACACAAAGCTTCGCTCCGTGGTCGACACAAATTAAAATAGTATCTGTAGCGATAAAAGCAAACATCTGCCGCCGTCGCCTTTATTCAAACGTTCTCTCCTATTTTTACTAGATCCGGGGCCACGTGAAAATAGCAGCGCGGCACGGGAAATTCAGGAACAAAGGTTAATTTAAATGTTCAACTGAAAAAAATTTTGATCAAATCGAGCTCGCTCGCTCGCTCACTCGTGAAATATACCAAGCCATAGAGTTCGTAACTCGTATTCAGCTGCTTACTGCTCTGAAATAAAAAAGGTTCCCAAGAGGCATGGAAGACTTCGGCACCCTAGTGTAGCGGATTTTGATGAGCAAATTTTAGTAACACTTATTTCTGCATTTTAGAAAAAATGAAACATATATACAAGACTAGGTTGTAAGGCCCTAACCTGCTTGTCTCGTACTCACATGATAGTACAGCATCCACAAGCCTTTCTTTTATTTAATTCTGGTTCTGGCTCCTGTAATTTTATGGGAGCTCTGGCGCTTGGTAAAGGACTCGGTGCAGGTGGAAGTTCAATTATTTTGGGCATCGTTGAATAGCCGCCTGCTGTTCCTGGTCTTCCGGTGCTTAAACTGGGGCTTTTCGGGTTCCTGAGAGGCCATTCAGTGCCATGTTCACTTCCAGATTCATTTGTTCGTGTCGGGGAAGAGGCAGAAGGCTTTAATGGAGCTTGGTCGTTAAGTGGACGAAAAGATGTATCGTAGACATTCCCAAACTTCCCTTCCTTTTCCCATTTTTCTTGTTGTAGTCGCTTTGCAATTGTAGGAAGAATCTGTTGGTCTGGGGGAAGCCTTGGGTCAGGCTTATACATAGAGGATAACCATGGAGGGTCTCCCTCAGGTCGCTTAGTTGTAGCTTGTGCACTTTCTGCACCGCGTAGAAGTGACTGGGGTCCAATAGATCCAGATCTAGTACGTGGCCTTTGTGTGGGAAGTTTATTGGCAGAAGCCGATCGATTTCTAACGCCTGGTTTCTTAGGAGGTAGATTTTCGGAAACTGCCCTTTTAGATTGTATACTTGCTGTAGTACTACTTTCCTTTTTATTTTCATTTGATCCACGAACTTTTGAATACGATACTGTATCTTCTTCATCAAGTAATGTGCTACTCTTTTTCCTCTGAAGGGGCGTATCACGCTCCAAGTGTACCGTGGGTATAGGAAAAGGGCTCTTTTTACAAACTGGTATTCTTGATAGTGATTTCACACTACCACCCGCGTCTACGTAACTTGATCCCAAGATCTCTTCAGGTAATCTTAGATCCCAAGTGTTGCTTTCAGGAGCTTCTTCTTCTTCTGTGGGCAAGGAGTCTATTTGTTGTCGTTTTGAAGTCTGTTCAGCCTTTGTGTTTGTGGTTGGTATATCTCGGCTATGTTGACGTCTACTGGAAGCTTTACTCGGCGCACGAGAGTGAGGTAGTAATATGCCTGCAGCTTGTAACTCCTGGCTTTCGATACGCGCAAGTTTATCTCTATGGATCCATCTGGACTTCTCCGAGTCTTCATTTGGCTTAATTTTTGAGCTGTTAGAAGAGAGGCCGTCTCCGGATTCCATGCTGCTTATGCCGCCTCGATTTAATCCATACAAGTCAAGAAGACTATCTGTCGCACTACCTGTGTCACTAATATTACCGTCTTTTGTATTTAAGACACTTAGTCGTGGGGAAGATAAAAGTTCATTTTCAGAATGTGGATTCAAGGTGTTTGTGTTTGCACGTCGTGACACATCTAGCTTAGCGCTTTGCGGATCGGGAGTAAATTTTTTTGAATGAATTTCTATATTAGGCGCCTGTGAATTCTGTGCGAACACAGGTCAGTTATCGAGGTACAGACAGTAATCGAGTTACTAGCACGGTCAAAAGCGACTAACCTCTGATTGGATTGGCACGGAAATCTCCCATTTATCTGTGCCCCCGTGTGAGCTAAGTGGCGGTGATAGGGTGCTCTGAACATGCGGCACAGATGCTGCAGCCATGTCACCTCTAACCCTCCAAACTTAGTCGCAAAAAAATAGTGAATTACGATGTGATTGAATAGACTAATCCTGAGTACGTAGATTCTCGGTATTTTGAGGAATTAATGTGCGTCGGTCTCTCTCTCCCTCTCTGGCTGACATTAACCTGCCACTCATGTGACGGGGACGTCGCCCCAGAAGCGTTAATAAGGGATTAATAGGTAGGTTAAGATTTTACACGGATCGATGATTGGCAATTATTCTCAATGATTTGAGCCGTTTGGCTAGTTGCGGATTGGCCGGCATTTGTAAGTTGAAGGAGATAAGTAAAGGCTGGATATATGATGGGACAAAAATTCAAGGGCGGCAGGGATGAAAATCAAAAGAGCTAGACATTTTTCGGTATTTTCTGCCCCGCGCGCCCACCCCGAAATTCGTCGACCTCTCTCAAGTAAGAATTTCTAACTCCTACATCGGGATTAATACGAGATTTGCAAACAGGCAAAACTTAAGCTGATAGTCATTTTTCCCAACTTGTTTTTAAGTTTCATTCACCTTAGGTATTCTTAGCTATCAGCATTTCGACATCATTTTGAGCTCTCACTGTTGCTATTATAATAATTAATTTTAACTTAGCGTTTGATAAAACTAGGGCGGACTTCGAACTCTAATGTGATTATCTAGATACCGAGTGGGCCGCTACCAACGTCGTTGCCAATCTTTAAAATGTATGGTATAACTACAAGGGTTGTCCAGCATCTAAACTGTACCCGATTAAGATGTATTCTTGCGATAGGACTATCCTACATCTTTTTTTTAAGCAAGTACGACGATAAGACAATTTTTAATTAATGGACGAGGTTTTTTGGAATCTATTATCTTTATGTCTTTGAGACTAATTCCTGTGTTTACTTGACTCCGCTTACGTCCCACTTACATGATATAAGAATAGTTTGGCAAACCGCAGGAACAACGATACCTCGTTTGGAGGTCCAAATATTTTCTATTCGTGAGTAAAGCGGTGCACTGTATCTAAGAAGCAAATATCTGCATTCATGGCAACATTCAATATTGTTATTTGGATCTCTATTAGTTCTAAATTTGTATATCTTGAGTCTAGCTATGCATTAAATCACTGCTTGACTGAAAGATGATCAGGTACAGGGTTGAGCTTGACAACCTCAGATATCATGATTATGTAATCAAGGAGGGTCTCTTAAGTTTGTGCAGTGAGGGTACAACTCACACTGAAAATCCTTTCCTCCACAAGCTGATCCGTTGACAGCCGCAGAGTGACCTTTAGCGCCGTCACACTGACGTTACAATTGTTGATTAGTACAGTTCAGGTGCACCTTCAAGGTTAACTTGTTAAACGCATCTAATTTCGCAAAGCTGAGACCGTCAGACACTCAGTGCACCTAACGCATGGAATCCACGAACGCGAGCCAACGGGATCTGATCGCTTCTTCCGGAGCCAGGACAAATAAAATTTTGCGACGTAGTTCGCATTGTCGAGTTTGTGTGGTAGATCCTAGTCAGGCAGAACTGAGAAAATGAGAATGGGAAGGTGCGAGCATAATTTAACACATATTAATTGTCCTGCCCTGGCGAGTTTTGCATAAATCACTGTAGATCTATGTAACCGGTGGGTCTCACTCAAAGTAACTATCTGGGTAGCCTGCTCTGAAGCCTAAAGTTTTTCATTGTGAGAAATGAATTTGATGTTCATCTAGGTATTACCACTTGTCATCGAAAGAGATGTATTACCACGAAAAACTGATAGAACCCGGAAAATTTACGGGGTCTCCACAACTATGTGTAAGATAAAATTCACAAAGTAGCTTAAGGATTGATAATGCGCATTGTTGCCAAGACATTGATTTGATTTCACTTAACCCAATTTGGCGCCATATGGGCTCATGCAGGTGACTGCGAACCTATCTATGTATCTACATATGAGATAACCACCAGTAAGTAACAGTCTATCTTACTGATCTATTTCTTGAACTTGTGATTTATCCTTCAGGATGCATAATTACGCTGTAGTGCTATCATTATGTACCAATCACGTCCCCTGTATCGACCCCAACCTTGTGCCAGTCCTGTCTCGTTCCCTAGGCTGCATTTAGACTGCATTTTTCATGCGGAATTGTTCCATCCAACTATGACTAGAGATCCATTGCGTGATCCTTTTACCATCGCCAGGATTGTCTACCATTTTTTCAAAGGAACGTTTTCTGGCTCTTCTCCAGATCTATACTCTACCAATTGACCACAAATGGCAGGACATACTAATGTGCTTGGGGTTTTGTGATGGGTAGCCACACGGACAGCATGGATCGTAGACTCCTGCTACTTTTCTTCTATGCAAATACAAATTAAGCCCAATGAGCTCGCTTAGAATTTGGATCGCCATGCTACTTTGGGCCCTTGTCAAATTATTGTGGAATGAAACTGGCGATTCCTGGAGACTTATTATTTGTCATCCAGAATGTCGGCATTGATAAATCTTAGCTGCAGTTGCTAAGGCATTGTATTAACTATTGATTGCAATATAGTGGCTTATCAAAACTTTTACCACCATCTCAAAGAAACTTTTGTTCGTGTTTGTTTATTTTACTACTTGAGTCATAGACTATCTTGTACATTGGGCTACTCTCTGACCTAGGCCACACCTTGTACAGTGCTCCTTGCCTCTCATGTTTCTTGAAGGATCATTGATATATTGCCCGTGATGCATAACCATTCCGTTCAGTGTTTACCCGTGGAATTCGGCCACCTTTTCCCTTAAACCTTCTACCCAAAAAAAATGGTAGCAATGAAGATTGCGTCCGCACGAAAAAGTCTCAAAAAACCTGCAGCCCCAGCTAGGCGAGGCCTAGATATCAGGACCACATGAGGTGAACATATTTATCTACATTTCCCTTGTAACATTCGAGGCCATCTTAGTCCAATCCACCATCTCCGTATCGAGTGCTGGGTACGCTCCGGAGATTCATCGGATGGCTTCTCCACGATAATGGTGTTAGTGGGATGTGTTGAGAGGTGAAGGCGATACAGACCGCGAAAGCGATTGGGAATCCTCGTCGAAGTGAGGGCTTTGTTACTCAATCCGGCTCTGCAGACTCTACAGTGAGAGCTGGAGGTTCGTAGGGGACACCACTGACAGGTGTTGAGAATAGCCCCCACCCCCTAAAGAAACTCACTCCAATGCAGGAAGAAAAACATATACAATGTTATCCCGAAATGGATAAAATAATTTATCTTACTTATCTCCCATCAACCAATTTATTAATAGATCGATTTTTAACGTCCTACTTGACTCATTGAGTTCATGGCGTATTGGGCACTTCTTTGGCCGAAGCGACGCCCCGTACAGCATATTTACCTTCTTGTGTGTCAAAGACGAAATCTCTTGTGTGATGCCCTTGATAGATGGCTATACAACTCAGTGTTAGCACACACAACTCGGCCTAATTTTATTATGAAAATTCTACAAGAAAAATGGGAGGCACGAAAACTCAACAACTGTCAGTTGTGTCCCCTACGAACCTCCAGTCCTTACTGTGAAGTCTGCAAAGCCGAGATTGAGGAACACCTTTTCAACTTTGAGCTGAGCTATCTCCCCCTCTGTCAGGGATATGCGTTAAAAAGCACAAAACGACCAGGACGACGATAATGATGCTGAAAATGAGGAAAGATGTTGCGGTACCAAGTGCTCCAACGGTATTCAGGGAATCCCTCGTTATATCACATGATATCCTATACATCGGTAGGCAAACAAAATGCCCATTTAAGCAGAGTAAAAGAAATCGTCTTCAAGAAAAGTAGATTTATTTCTCTTAACCATCAATTCCGAATCTACTAGCCAGGAGGACATCTGAAATAAATGAGTTACTAGACGACCCCACGTCCGTAACGACTTTTGGATGCTAGGCTAGGCTCATGTACGGTAGTTACTCTCGACTAAGACTTTTCGGGCAACCTTTCACGACCTTCGATCTGTTCCGCGGCATGAATCTGGGGAGGAGTATGGAGGAGGCTAGGAAGATTGAGAGAAGCTCTTACGTATGCAAAAATTCTACTGCTCCTAGACTTCCAGCTTCTTTGAACGCTTCAGAATGCTAGCTATTGCATGAGATAAAGCCCTGATTCAGCTTTTCGAGCGCCCTGTACCTACTGAATTTTGAAAAATTTCCCTGCAGATACACATCTGTGAACGGCCATTGTGATGATTGCTGGAGTTAACAATAGAATGAGAGTTGATCAAAGTATATAGATATGTATATAAATGAAGACCTGTGGGGAAATTTCCGCTGGGAAGAGGCTGTGAAGGAGTTATAGACACTCTAAGCCTATAGGGAACCAGACCTACATTTCGTGACTCAGCCATAAGCTCAGTAAGTCAGTTAATATACAAATTATACTTCAAGCACACCGATAAAAGTTAGACATAAATTTCGGCCATTTCACCATGATTATTCTTTGCCTGTTGTATTAATACCAAAGGCCCATAATTACTAGCTCCTCTAACAGTATGAAAATTCACTCGGGCCGGAAGCAAAAGGATTTCAATAATAACCTCTGAAAATGGAATACATTCAAGAACTTCGCAAGGCCGGCAAATATAAATTCTTCCCCTTCCAGTGGTGCCAGTGTAATTGCTCCGCATGTCTGGTATAGCTAAGAAGAATCGTATCCACTTCAAAGTTGAAAGAAAACTGATATATATCTAAAGCTGACGGTATCACTTCAATATTGGAGCTGCCTTTTTCACGCAAGTCTTCCTATTCGATTTTACTGCAAACCATCTCGCCCGAATGAACGATGAAGGAATTGCCCTAATTTCTAGCGGGAGCTTTCCACAACAGTTACTAGCCATCTTCGACAACAAAACTTTACTGCAATGTAAATGTCAGGGGATACATCTAGATCAATATTACCCTATGCTCAATACCAATACCAATCATAACATATAGCTTAAGTGCTGATTGGTCAAGAGGTTGATTACCATATGGGTT